AACCATTCTATGATTCTATGATTAATCTGATGCTAGGACAACTCTGGAATCAAACAACTGGATCAAAATGGACTAGAAAAGAAAACATAGCAAGTGAGATCTGCCTAAAATTAGATCTTGGTTACACTCACAAAACTGTCATTAAGGGAATGAGATGTTGTGCTCAAAACAGAGCTTATATAATATGCATAGATCTCCAATTTATGTGAATTTGCAATCACTGTCTGCAGTACTGAACTTCAGATTTCATCATCACTAAACAGAACATTTTCCAACAGCAACATAGTTAATAAACAAAAAGCAACTCTAAAATGAAAAGCATCTTTAAGTTGTAAACTCAAACCACTGCTCACAGAAAACTGATCTTTTCTACTGAACACATAGATGCTTTACCCTAAAAAGGAACACAAACAGAATCTGGAACTGTTTTCCTCCCAACACAAGGGATGCCAGCACTATAATGCTAAAGATCAGCAATCCTACCAGATTCACATCTGCAGAGGAACAAACCACATTGAAGAGGAACTTCCTATCTAAGACAAAACTTTCAAGAACTTCTGCTTCTGGAAATACTTACGTAATGATCGTCGTCTCTTGTTCTTTAACTTTCTTCTTTTATTCATTCCAGCTTTAGATGGAGATTCCTCTTTGGCCTTTGGCTGGCTGGTAACTTTTGAAGAGTTCTGCTGGCTGAAGTGTGTGGGCACATGACGGGCAAGTCCTCCCTGAGATGCAAAGCTGGCATTGCACCCACCAACTACACACTAATGAGAAAAAAAACCAACAGAACAACTGAATCAGTGTGCTATGTGGCACTCATTCACAGGAGTCTGATAGATCTTTCAGTTTGACTTTTCTGGCTCAACCTCCAACACATTAAAATGAAGACAAATTCTTAATGATCATGCAATTGTTAAAAAGCAAAACAGAAGCATAATCTGCAATAAATATCTATCTGAACTTCGTAAGTCTCAATAATTATTCCATGGTATAATAATTTTTCTATGCTGAATTATATTCTATAACATTGTACAGCATAAAACCAATCTCAAACAATGGACTGGCAAACTCTTCCCACAGAAAATGAATGCTTCTGAAGAACTTTCCCCTTCACAGACCAACATCCCCTTCTCTTTCAAAATACTGCACTGCTATTCTGTATTTCTCAACAGCTGTCCAATCTTCTACATTTGATAACAGTAACGTTCTCTAACATCCTCCTTTCTTGTGACAAGGCAGAAGGAAAAAAAAAAAAAATACATCCTTACCCACATTAGATTTTAAACAGCTTAAGGCTTTTTGTGAATGCTACACAAAGTCAATAAACAGTTATCTTGCAATTCTAAAACTTTAACTTCAGTAACTTGAAAGTTGTATTAACAATCATTTATACATTTATTTTGGGGTGCTGCTATTACTTCAGACGGATTTAAGAAATTTCTCATTTATAGAAAATGTCTCTTTCTCAAACAGAAAAATGAGAAAAGATCCAACAATAATTAAGCAGAAACACAGAAATCGCAAGATACGCGCAACCAAGCTAGTACTGTCTACAACAATTATTGGTATTTTTGTAAGAATTTGGTTTATATTTACAATTATTTCATTTGCAAAATGAGTATTTAAATTACAATGTTGCGGAGGGAGGCACAAACCTATTCTCTAGTGCTCTGATCTTACAAGGGTAATAAAAAAGTGATTTTAAAATACACATTCCATCATTGGCTGCAATGAATTGTATATCCACATGACCAATTTTTCTCCTGATCCAGAGAACAGCAGTAGGGCAAATGAGTTGATCAGCCAGTAGCAAAAAACTCACCACCACTCTAAACCATTGGAAAGTTCTCCTTCTTCCACATCTGTTCTGCTCCTCCCCCTCCTTCCACTCTTTCTCAGCTCTTTCATCTGTACCTCTCTTCTCTAGCACTTCCCTTCTCAGCAAACTGATGAGGCAGCTCCAACAGAAGTTGCGGAATAAGTAATGCTGCAACTATGTACACGGTGCTAAGTTTTCTCTGAAGACTAAGGATAAATTTGCAAGCTCTTACAGTAATCTGCCCCAAGCCTGCACATTTGATTGAAAGAGAAGAAAACAGTAGTAGAAAACCACTCAGCATGTTTTGTCCCTAAAACCCAACTGTGGCTGCAGAGTTGAAAAGCCTATTTCTGCCTCAGACCTAACAAATTGTTTTCCATGATCATCATAAAACAATATACCGTCCATGAAGAGAAAAACCTGTGTTATCCTCAAGGACTTAATACTTGCTATAGGACTAAAAATATCTATATATATTTCAAGACAGTAAAAGACAAAAAATAGGAGGAGATTTTTCACATTTTTATTTGCCTTTTTTTTTTCCCCCCTCCTAAGGTGGGGGTGGGGTAGGGGGAACCAAACACAACTTAAGAGGAAGTTAGGGAAAGTTTTCTAAGTACTAGGCTAACTGCAAACATCTAATTCCCTGACAAAAAGCTTTAGGATCCTTCATACTGTATTTATTCCTCCCTGTCTCCCCCACTGATAACTATCTTAAGAATTGTGAAGATTTTTACCAAAAACCTACCTACGCCTTTTTACCTTGTCCTATAATTTCCCATGTTCAAACAGCAGCAATATTGCATACTTATATTGTACTGACTTACAATATAATAAATCCCAGCACATCTATGAAATTCAAAACACTTAAGATCCTGATCTCATTTACACTATGGTATCCTCAATGCAATATTTACTACTTCAAATTAACACTGAAGATTAAAATTTACACTTCTAGAATCACTGAATGGTTTGGGTTGGAAGGGACTTTTAAAAACCATCCAGTTCCAACCCCCCTACCACGGGTAGGGACATCTACTAGATTAGGTTGCTCAAAGCCCCAACCAACCTGACCTTGAACCTGACCTACTTAGTTGTATTAAAGATGATCAAACTCACAATCAACAGATACAGGTAAAATACATGCATGCATTAGTTCAAACAATTTTTTTTATTCTCCAGTTTTTAAGTCCTTGAAATAGTTGCCTTGCCCATAAAAGCTGTTTCATGAAACTAAATTTAGCAACTAAATCTAAACTTAGGTTTAACTTTCATTAAGGTGCTCCTGACTTCAGATTCTAGCTCTTTCTGATACTATAAACACTGACAGAAAAAAAAATAAGCGCAGAAAAAAACCCCATACCCTGAAGTTCAACAACACTGAGAAAGTAAAATTTCAGTCTTGGTAATGCCTGCTAGAGGTAAAAAATAACCTAAAGTCTTGGTACAGGGCATGCATTACCATATTCCAAGTTTATTAATCTATAATATGAAAAGGCACTACCTTCTGAAAATAACAAATAAACTTTGTGTCAGGCACATTTCTAAAATTTTTGAAAACACAAGTTCATAAGACTTAATTGTATTTCTTGTCAGTTGGGAAACAATGTTTTATGACAAACTGCAGTTTTGACTCACAATGTCACAATTTGAGTTTTGTCTAGTCATGTACAAAAAAAAAAAATCACAGATATTCTATACAGATAATCTACAGAAGCTACCACCTACTTTTCTTGCTCTACCCGTTTTAACTTTCAAAAGCTCTCAACCAGCATCCTTAAATCTTCAATATATGCAACTTGAAACTAGAAATTATCTTTTCCAGAAAGTCTGCAGACATAGTATGAAATATTTGCAGAAATCATTACATTCAGATATTGTGTAGTTTGAGACTACCTGATCATGTCATCAAATAATCAACAGCTGATATATCAAAAGATGATAAAGAATACCTTTGTAGTAGACAGGAAATAGTAAAAGAGGATAAAAATCTTACCTGTTTTTTCTCTTTTTTTTTTCTCTAAAATAATATATCCAGCAATCCGTTACTAATGTGTAAAGTCTCTTCTCTCCAAAGATAAAGGAGCAGTTCAGGCTGTCACTTCAGGATCTCTGGACGGTAAGTCACACCAAATCAGCTTCCCACCAGATAATTATACAGATCTAGAGGGCTTCTAATAAATCAAACTCAACTATTATGCATAACTTTAAACCAATCTCTTCATTTTTCCCCAAAAACCTAAAACTCAAAATTTCGCATTCGATTTTAAATATGATAGATTGGGTCCGGATTGGTGGATATGTTACTTCAAGAGAAAATAAGTCAACACATAAGAAGTTTAATTTCTCCAGTGTACCCATACCCACCATTATTAATGGGCAGTAATGACCAGTGACTTTAACAAACAGGATATAAAAATATCTAGCAATACAGTTTTGGGGTTTTTTTCTAAATTCAAAATACCAAATCTGCTTTTTAGAATATTCAATGTGTAATTTTTCCAATAAATCTAACAGCAATATTTTAGACATCTGGATAAACATTTTTATTGTCTCAACATCTAAGTATTCAGCCAGAATGCCTTTATGTTTTCTATCTGCATCTGCAATGCTCTAACGGACAGAAGATGCTCTGCCAGGAGAGTAACAGACATGAATTCCAAATTAGGATTGAAGCTGCTTGGCTGTGTTTTCTACATTTCAACAAGTGTTACTCTACTGAGAGTCACATGAAATGCAGTCACCCCTTAACGAATTCTGGAAGTTACAGGTTGTAGAATGAGCACCAAATTTCATCTTTATTATTACTTTCTTCCCTTGTTTTAAACAAAGGTTGAAAGCCTCCAATGACTTGTGTACTGTCATTCGTTGTCATTGAAAGCATTTATCCCACATGAGTAAATCCTGCATAACTGATCTCCAACAGTAAGAGCGTACCCACTAGAATCAGTATGTGAAAACAGTTGGTAGCATGCCCACATGCAGTCTCATATTTACAGAAGATTACTATATGCAATTATTTTGCATAAAATCTCCTACTGTTTTACGCTCACTCTATCATTTGTCCTTTCATTGTGCCTAACATCTTATATTTGGACACCTAGACTATATTTTAAGAGTTCATTTGATAAGTCTTCAAGTAGCTTTCAGTGCCTTGAACAATGACAAGGCATGGCGAGTAGTACTTTGGTTAAATTGACCAGAAACCATGCTGGAAAATGCAGGTTGTCACAGCACATTAACTATTCAAATACTTAATATTTATAACAGCCAAGTTTAAGACAAGAAAGAGAGAATTTCTTCATTCACTTTTTCTCAGCTTGCCAAAGACAGTTACCCACATCAGTTTTCTAACTCAGCAGATTATTCCTCTAGATCCACCCGTCTACATGTTCTGAAAGCCTGAAAGTTAAGTTGTTGAATCCTCGACAGGACCACCACTTACATGTTGATGATACTCCACAACATTCCACCAGTTTCTAAAAAGCTGCAAAAATTATGTAATAACAGAACTAAAAAAGAGTAATGTTTAGGTTTTTCTCTCTCAGCTCCGAATGTAAAATCATACACAAACATGAATATACTAAATGTCTTCAGAGAAACAATTACATGCTCTGAGAATACCTATATTAAATTAATGTCTACAATGCCTACTAAAAAAAAAGGAGAAAAAAAAAGATGAAAGGATGGCTAGACTCAGACTGCAATAAGCAAAGAGAAAACCTCCAGCAGCACAAGAACAATGACCTTCAGGTAGTAAGAGGCACAGCATAACTTCGAAAATACCTAACAGTGGGCCAAAGGCAGCTGATAAGTTCTCCACCAGAAATGTGTTCTGTAAGACAAGTGAGTTTGTTCCTCTTGAAAAGAAAAACAAATCTAGGAAATGGTGCTTACCAAAAGTAGGACTGGAAAAGCATGCTGCTTTGCAGAAATCATATTTGACTATAGACTGAGAACTAGCTTCAACGGTAACTATGTCCCATTTAATGGACTTTTTTTTTCTCTTTGGTGGAGGGATTGCTGGGTGCCCTAGGAAAAGACACTTTATCAGTAACAAAACTTGGTGATGAAGGCCTCAAAAAAACAAGCAAAAAATCCATCCATGTGTTCCACATGAAATTCAAGGCCATCAGTATTAAAAACTTAGAAGAAAAGGGAGGGAATAAACAGAAAAGCAGTACGATGACTAAAGGGGAACCGAGGTCCTAAATTCTGCCCCAAAGATCTAGGGTATCTTTTTTTTTTTTTTCCTCTCTCCTTAGTTCAGTAGATGACTTGGATATAAAATGTCTCCTCCTTATGAGCTGGACATACAGTACCAGGAAATTGTCCCATATAAAAATGGAGCTAGTGTAACAAAGGTCTCAAAAATAAGTATTCATAAGGAAATTCATCTTTTCTGTGACACAGGTACTGCAATATTAATGCTGAGGGGGACACACAAAACCACACAAACAGAAAAAAAAAACAGAAGAAACATGAAAATATGAAACATTTTGCCTTTGTAATTTAGAAGTGGATTCATTTCTGTGACAAATGAACTACACAGTCACATAATTTATATGAATGTATGGAAAGGACAGGTAAACCCACAAAGACCTTTTAATATGAAAGCACAGAAGCTTATTTACAGCTGGTTACAGCTTTTAATCAAAGGACAACACCACATGTTTCACAAAAATAGATAATTAAACCCAAAACGGGCAACTACATGAGTCCACTTGCAAGCAAAAGGGTGACAAGTCAGGGATATATCCTTCAACAGAGTGGTTCTAATGCAAAGGAGAGTCTTATGCCTGAGACAGTCCCCAACTGCCTTTCAATTTAAGAAAATACTTTTGTCTCTTATTTTGACTAGAAATACAAGAATACAGTAACCTGCCATACATTTATTACTCTCCTCTGATCAGCATATGATTATAGTGTTCTTTTACCTTTACAAAAGTAAATTCTCCATGCTTTTAATTGTCACTTTCCTAGCTAACATTCTTTGCACTTCTTAAAAACATCCTGAACAGCAGTTCTTCAGACAACAGCATACAGCTATACTATTTCCATTACCGCCTTCTACAGATTTCCTCAAAAATCCTGACATTCATTTATATATTTTTTAAATAAAACACTGAATGACTAGGTATTCTCAGCAAGTTCTCTAAAATGACAGATTCCTTCCTTTTATGCTAAAACTCAAGTATATTCTCATGAGGCAACAGAAATTTCATTTGTAATTTAGGTTTCGGTAGATTGCCTGCTGTAATCATCTAGAACAAGAGGTCCTCAATCCAACTCTGACTTGAAAAAATTTGGCTTTTCCTAAAAGGTGAGCAATTAAGATTTGTAAGAACAGCAAAACGCACCAAAAGGAAACGTTTGCTGTTTTTGACTGACTGCCATAAAACAATTAGTAATGGCTATTCTTGGACCGATTAAGACTAATCCACACTTTAAGTGGTTTTGCATCAGACAGTAGATTTCAAAAGCTTGTAAAAGAAAAGAAGTGAGGAAAGGGGGTTAGTTAATTAATAGGCTGCTATCACAGACATTGACATACTTGGCTACCTCATGTGAGCCCTGAAGCCTATATTCAGAATAAATGACAGGGAAACAAAAGATGTTACAAAATTCTACTCAGACCACATTATCCTCCATTCAAAGCCCCCAGGAACAGATTGAGAAATACAGAGATAAAAAAACAAACAGAGCGACTGAAGACAACAGTAGTAAAATCTGCTGAAGTGATACACATTGAGCCATGATGATTAACTACTGCAATCCTAGCCTGTGTTTTGTTATTTCCCTTAGTATGACTAGAAAGTACAGAAAATCACCTGGTGAAATAACACGTATTTAACACAAGATGATTATTATCAGAATTAAATGTTGTAAATTTTAGGATTCTAGCTGTAACCAGATTAGTGAAACAACTGGGATACCAACTTTTACTGACTTTGCTAGGTAACTCTGACAGACTCAAAAGTACTACTGGTATTTCTCAGCTATGTCCACCTCCTTTGAACCCAATGTCTCTAAAATTGAGTTTCTTTAATCTAGACCACGTAAGTATACAAACTACCCTACTGAAAGACTTTCCTTCAAGACCAAAGCTTGCCATTGTACTTTAAGGTATATAAAATACTTAATTCCAAAATGAGAAGACCTAAGGTACAAGTTTCCTGTGATGACTGGATTTGGGGTTTTTATTTTATTCAGGGGTTGGCACTTAAGATTAGATCAGTTGCTGGAACACTCATAACTACAAACTTTCAAGCATCTATGATCCTTATGCTATCTTCCAAAAGCATGCTAACCTTGTTCCTTTGAACAAAGGGTATGACAACCTCAAAGCAAGTCTCCTGTTGTTATTCACTCTCCGAGTCAGATATTTTCAGACTAAACTACACAGTTCAGTATAAGAAAAAAGTCTAACTCTTACTAAAAAACTTTCTCATGTGCAATGCACAATTTTTACTCTCTAGGTTTTGAGTTTAGTTTTGGTTTCTGTCATAACTACTGTTATAAGCTATGCAGAAGTAGTAACTTCTGGAAGACATCACTGTAACAGAAAAGTATTTTTTAGTAATAAAGCTGTGTTTAAAAAAAAGCAGAAGATATTACCTGAGAAGAAAGAGAGGAGAGGGAAGTGGAGAAACAGTGACTAAAATTTAGTGGAGTTCAGGGGTGGCGGAGAGGAAGGCATAAAACACTACCTAAACTTAAAAAAAACCCTAATTCATTTTCTTATCCTACATGGAAGGAGAACTTCAGTCTGAAGTAGTGTGGGTGGGACTTACCATCAAGTGATCCAGGACTGACAGCTATGAACTGCCCCAACTGTATCCATAAGAGGATGAATCAACTCATTAATAACGGATTGGTGGATATGGGAATGATAAACTACTATACCTAGAATTGCAGGTACAGATTAGGGGGAGAAAGAAAGAGAAAGTTAGAAAATATTATGCAGGAAATACAGTCAGCTCAATGGTCCCGCATTCCTGACTTCCTTATTATTCTCAGAGAGGTTAATCATAGTCACTGACTTGCATTTCAACTGAATTTTGTTAACAAAACCAGCTCTTATTCAAGCACTGAAAGTGCACCATCAGGCATGATCCAAAGTTTAGTATGGAAGTATAAAGCATGAGGCAAAATATCTCACTGATACAGTTTAGGCAGCTCAACTGGAAAATGCACAAAAAATTGAACTTCAGCACTACTTAGTTTTATACTCCCCTACCATTCACAGGTTAAAAGAAACAGGGATAGAGAAGCAGTAACAGTATCTTCACCTGTTTTCATTAATAGAACAGGACCTCTGGGCACTATTAATGAAGGCTCAGCTCACTGGGTACTTTTTAAGAAATCCTCCTGTGATGGCATTTTTCAATTAATATATTGTATCAGGAAAAGTAAATAGGATCGCTCTTAAAATAAGGGATGATATATCTTAGAATGAACCTTACCTTGAAAGGTTTGTCCCCACTGTGTGTCAGCATATGCCTCTGCAACCAACTTTGACTTGTTGAAGGTGTATTATATACTTTGCAACCTTTCCACAAGCAAACAAACACCTAATAGAGTAAAAACGTGGTAAGTTTACATAAGTCAAAGAAAACAGTAAAGAAAAAAAAAATAATCAGATTAGTAAAGAAGCCTGTTTTCACAATATGAAGTACTTCAAAGAATTTTGAACAATAATCATTTATTTTGCAACACAGTTCCTGTATCTCACCAAGCAAAAAATTATTACAACCACAAGTATTCAAAAAAGCAGGTCACTGGAATAAAGTATCAAAAAACCAGATGCTCCTGCACATAAACACAATTGAGAGCCACAGCATCCACTGTAAAGAGTTTTTGTTTGCACTCAGTATCTGTATCCATCAGATATAGAGACAGAACATTTTCAAATGACAAATTTACATTGTCTATGTAGCAGACACAGAAATAAAATCATTTACTCTCATAAGTACTTAATAATTCTATTCTTTGAGCACAAAAAAGTAAAAACTCCTAATTACAGTACAGTTGTTTAGATACCAGGGTTTTACACTATGGAATACTGGATACCTCTAGTTAGGGCCTTATACTCAATTCCTGATGAATAAAGTCACAATTTCTCATAGGATGCAAAATCTATGGGTGTTTTGTGATTCCAGTGTACAGATCAGTCACATGCACAATAGTGCATTAACGGGAGTAGAATTTACTCATACTGCTTTTCTCTCTCTCCTCATTGTGTCTATCTATAACTGAGAGAATAAAAAGCTCAATGAACTTGCCTTTCACTAGAATTTCCTCAACAGGTCCGTGTGTGGAGGGAGGCATAACCGTAATTTGTAGCAGCAAAATACAGTCCCCAGGAATAGCATTGTCCATCATACAGGTTTTCAGAACTGCTGGAAACTAATTGGACTTGAGTTTCTTGTTCTCTTTTGGAGATCAGAAAACTTAATCTTCAAAAGATTGTATTTTCAAAACAAAAGAGCAGCCACAGGAGTGCTACGTACTTGCTGCATAATGCAGATAACCCAGCTTACTAATACAAAGCTGGAAAGCCCTGCATGTCTGTATGACTGATCCAGACCTACGAACACATAAGGCCCAACACCCTAAACCTTTGGTTTCTGCCGCTCCTCGGTTTTGAGATCCTCCTGAAGCCACAAAATTGGAATTTTTGAGATTCCTGGCTATACAATAGCCCTGTAACTGTCCCAATATTTCCATGAGCAACTGCAGACCACAGGGCACTCAGCAAAGGAGTATTACTATGAAGTTACAGATTGTGGAAATGCAACCCCTCCAAAACACAAGCACTTCGTTTTACAACCACCCACCAGAAGTCCAGGCAAGGTTTCTTGGGAACCCTTGTCAAAAGGCTGCATCCAAAATATTTCTGAAAAAAAAATCTGTGGGAAGTAGAACTATTTTGTCAAAAAGTTTCCCGGGCTCTTCATGGATCTATCTAGTTTGATTTGGAGCCATTATCTCAGTATCAGCTTGAAAACATACATTTTACCATACAAGGATGCTTATCACATTGCTTTTAAGTGCTCAATAAGCAGTTACTACCCCCACTTTTCTTCAGATTTATAGTCATTAGAGCTAAGTAATACCTGAGATCTAGTCAAAACCTCAATATAATTTCTAACACCACTTAAACACCTCACCAGCAGGTGGCAGACAAATCCTTGAAACAAAACAGCCAGGATCAGTCCCCTTCCAGAGCATCAAGTTGAAGAACTTTTCAAAAAAATAAACCAACTCCAGTAGAGGGATAAAAAGTGTTAACTGACTGCAACAGTTATCAGACATTTGGTCCTTCCAACAACCTCCTTCTTCAGAAACAAAAAGGCAGTCTAACGTATTCTAAATAAAAATATCCACAAATCATGTCACATGGAATGTAAGGGAACAGAAACACAATACAAAAAAAAAAAACAACCAAACAAACAAAAATGAGACAACCCTGAAAAACATTCCAGTTCCTTTTTAAGAAGTGACAAGTGGTCATGGATGGGATAAAGAAAGATCCCCAAAGATGCACTTCTGTGAAAGCTCACAGGATACTGATATACCTCATCCATTTCATTGTTTCATCCAGGATTCATATAACACTTTTATAAACCTATGAATAGAACTACAGAAATCACCTCATGGGTGGCTAAAAAGCCAGCTCACTGGATGGATGATTCCTCTTAGAGCTTGGACTGAAAAAAGTCACCAAATATGAAGTTGAAAGTTCAATCATACCAAAAGCATTAGCTAAGTACAACCAGAGTCAGCTGTCTCAGTGGCACAATTACATCATAAATTATTTGAAGTAATGCAGATTAGCATTTTAGTTAAGTCTCTTATTCACTCAGGATAAAGTGCAATGACCTAACATTTTACTTCTGGAAAAGTGACAGGACAAAAAGTCAAAAGATAGCGACTATTCTATGTCAAGATTTTTTATTAGCTCTTCCAGAAACTAAAGACCTGCAACATACAGCACCAAAAGCAGGCAGATTGCTTGTGTTTGACGTAAAGGCAGATTACGCAACATATCAAAGGTAATTTGTGAGCAGCAGGTAGTTAAGGACAGAGTTGAAATTACTAGGTGTTTTGAAACATTAAAATTGTCAGACCAATGGAAATTGTATCATTTGACCAGGGATTAGACTGAAATATACATGATTATATATGCACCTCATTTAAAAAAAATAATAATAGACACAATTATATTGAAGGTATACTTGCCATCAGTACTACAGACAGAGCTGTTTTGGTAAGACTTGTACTCTCGAGTCAATGAGTCTCACATCTTCCCTATTATACATTCTGTATGTATTTCACCTCTAGTGAGACTCATAAAAATAATCAAGACGACTTCACATGCAGTAACACATACACTAATAGTTTTAAGAAAACTAATTGCAAGTATAAACACTTATAGATACACCAACAGCTTCAGGATGTTGAGAAGTTAGCACATCTATCAAAAACCTGACAGTCTCAAGTAATTTATTAAAAAGAACTTACTACATTCTTAATTTGGTAATTGAATGCCTAACTTTAAGTGAACTATGAAAAAGAAAACAGCTGAATGTCTAATACTAGACTGCTGAAGGCCAAACCTTCGTTATCGCCAGATACGAACTGACAGTTTAAAACATAAAATTTGCTACTATCATTGAAGAGTAAAATATTGGTATGATTGGCAAGAAAGAGGGAGAAAACAAAAAGTAACACCAACCCCTCCTCGCTGACCATCCACATGTATGGAGCGAATGTGATCTGCTAAATCGGGGCTGGAGCTGAAGCAAGCATGGCAGTGGTCCCAACAACAGTTATAAGCAATATTTTTTGCAGAGGAGGCAGGAACTCCTTGTCCATTCATCATAACTGGAGTTGAACGCCCACTGGAAATTGTGCTGTCTACATCCATAATAGTGCTGCTTATGCTGTAAGACAAAAAAGAAGTTCATATTTATGCATGTTAAAAGAACAAATAAAAATCACAGCTCTATGGCATTTTGTTGCATATATGGTTAGACAAAATGAAAATAAATTCTTACAAAAACTTACTATTTATTATGGTTCCTCACTTTATAATAAATGTACAGTCAGAAAATACAGAAAAATTGTCTGAGCAGCCAGGGATCAGGTTAGGAAAGCTAAAGCCCTCATAGAACTAAATCTGACCAGGGATATTAAGGGCAACAAGAAAAGCTTTTACAG